ACCCATTAGGGCGAAATCGCGGTCGGGTCACGCGATGTTTTCTCCCCCGCGGGACACGCGCCCCTTTCGACACCGGTTCTCGAGTGTCCATCGATCGGAGGAACGTCCGCCTCCAACCGTACAGGTTCGCGACCGACCGGAGGACCGTCCCGAATTTATCTCGAACGGGGAACCGTATACCGACCGCCGACTAAAATTCCCAAAGTTTTCCTGGTTCGATTAGTAGAGACTCCGCGTCAGCGGCTACGGAAGTCGACCCTTTCCCCACAGTATTCCGACAGTCCAATCCCGACAGTATTTCAAAACTAAAAGAAAAGGAGAAACATTTACCATTGCTAAATAAACGTATATATTGCTTCGGCGTCCAAGGAGAACGAAGAAATACGAATTCAAAGTCAACAAAAGCGGCTCCGAAATCCGTCGACTGTTCCAACGATGGAAATTCGAGATACGTCGTGTTCTTTCAAGGCTTCTTTCCGTAGGGTTTTCAAACGAATGCCACAGTTTTCCTCTCATCCTCCCCGTTTTTCGAAATAATTTTGGGGAAAATGCCCTGTGCCTCAACCGAACGGTTCTTATCGTGATTCCTGTCGCGACTCTCGCGTACCGCGTTGCCCGAGTCAAGAAAAAGAATCGTTGACGCGAATTTTCTGACCGCGATCGGAAAGATTCCGACGTTTGTACCTCGATTTTTCGGAGTAACGAAGAGTAAACCCGTATGATGCCTCGCGATACCGAGTCCTCGGTGGCTGGGTGATCGAAATGACAACGACCGGAGCCGCCGTACCCAAGCCGACGCTAAGGTTCTTCGATACCCTCGTGGACCGACTCGGCGCTCGTCGACGACGAAACGCTCCCCCGTTTTAAAGTTAACGAGACCGAACCGGTCACCCAGGCATGCCGACCAAGCGCCGCCAACTTCCCTGGCATTGCCAATTTTAATAAGCACCGAGTGGGCGACTCTCACCTGGCCAAGTGCCGCCGAGCAATTTGCCTTCGGTGCTTTCGCTTGGCACCGCTGAGGGCCGGAGTCCAAGTTCCGATAAGCGGGAATTCTTCGAGCCAGTTAGCGTTAATTCCCAGGGTCCCGCAAGCGACAGTAGGTTTCCTGCCGAGCGGGCTCTTCGGGTCGCGTCCCGCGCCTTTTTACGACTCACCTAGATGTGCTCGCGCGTTCACTCGTGTGCGCTGCGTGTTCGTATGCGTGTTCGTATGCGTGTGCGTATGCGTGCGAGTCCGCGAAACGGGAAGAAACGTTGGGTTTCCTTTACTTACCTGAAAAAGAAAACAGGGAAAAAGGCGTTACTCGTTTCATCCGAGAAGGAAGGCGCGCAAATTAGTGCACGGCTGTCTCCTTTACGTTTCGTCCGCTTCTCGGACACTTTCTCCGGAAGGGTGGCTGTTTTCCGGCCACCGTTTTCCCGGCGAGGCCTCCTGTCCCGCGGAAGTTCGTCCGTTCGCGAATTCCGGCGAATGATTAAACCTGCCGCGCGTCGCGACGCGAGACCCGACCACCGTCGAGCGTCCAGCCGTGCGTAACCTCGCGCGTTCGATTCAGGCCCGAATCGCTCCCGATTGACCGGTGTCCCCGAGTACGTTCCTATCTCTCTCTCTCTCGCTCACGCGGGAAAAAGGTAGCGACGCGAAGGAAGTCGGGAAGATTTCGTGAACATGGATTACGTCCAGCGAGCACCGTTTAGGATTCGACGGAGCGTCGAATCTTGGCGGTACTCCAAAATCGCGTAATATCTGGTACGCTGAAAGCCCCTGGCCGCGCTCGCGTCCACGGCGTCGCTGTCGGGACGAACAAGAAAAATTCGCCCTACCCTTCGTCTTGACTCGTTCCCCTGCCCGGGTGCTCGTAGAAAAAATGCTCGGACCGCCGAGTCCCGGGGGCTCCTCGCGGGATCCGCCGGGCCGACGCCAAGGCGCGGCGGAAGAATACGAGCCGGCACGCGACCCGAATAATCCACGAGACCATTCGGGGATTCACTTTATTAAGGAAATGCCGGGCATTCCGAGCGTGGTGCCGCCCCTGGAACGCGGATTGCCTTACCCTCGGTCGACCGAGACCGAGCGCGGTCGTTCGACTCGATCGTTATCGCTCGGCGGAGAAGCCGATAAAGCGTATTCGGCAACGGTACCGAGAGCACGGTATCGGGATTGCTCGGGCGTCCGGAGAGTCGCGGTCCGCATCTTCGGAAAGGATCCGAGGTGCCGCGTCGCGAATAGGCCTGTACGTTTTTAAACGCGCGGCTGCCTCGTCGTACCGACCTCCGTCAAGGAAACGCCGTATCGCTATCCAAGGCCGTCCGTGGGCCGCGAGGACGCGGTATCGACGCGTCCCTGGAGACTTTATCGCTCGAACCGGCTGCCCCTGTGCCGACCCGACCATAAATTTACGCGCGCTGACCGTGATCGTCTTCGTCGACCCCGCGACTCGGACTAATTTCGATAACCGGGAGGAACCGATAACGGGCAGGAAGCCCGTCCATCCACGGCCGGAAGGCCGACCGGGCGACCCGAGGAAAGAACGGTGGAATCCGTGGTCGGTGCCGACGCCTCTTCCTCAACGATTCAAACTAAAGGACGAGATTTCCCGCTGCTGTCTCTCGGGCCTCCCCGATACGCGCGCGCGTACTTTCGTGCACGTCCACGTGGAGGATCCGCGTCGACGTTGCACGCGATATCGCGATCTCCTCGTCGGTCGGGACCCGTTTCCGGCGACGTTCGCTCCACCCATCGCCCCGGATGCTCCGTAACCGAGCCGCGTCCTCGCCGCCGCGGCGACTCGACGAGAAAGCGAGCGGGTCCTCGAACGACAACGTAACGGGCAGTTTTTGTGGCTCGGGCGAGACGCCCCCGGACCCGGGGGACGGTTTCCCTGCCGCTACGGCGGCCTCGCGGCGGATCGACGCGGAATTGGGGCAGCCGAGGATGTCCGCCCGAACGCGACGCGGCCAACCGCTCGAGCCGGTGGCCCGATGAATATTCAACCGATGGCGCTTTCGACTCTCGGCGATCTCGTCGGAGGGTTCGGGATCCGCTCCGTCGAGAGACTTACGGTATCCTTCGTGATCGCGCAAGGACCGGCGACGGCGTTCTTCCTCTGCCTCTTGATCAGCCGGCTGAGTCTCTGGGTCCTCTGGGCGCAGGTGAGGGGTCCTCCGTCGGTCTCGAGGTCGGTCTCGGGGTCGGTCCCCTGGTCCTCGGCGGGAGGGCCCGGCCGCGGGGTGACGGTGCTCAGGGGCACGGTCCTCGCGACCAGCGTCTCACTGCGGACGCTCCAGCTGGAGCCGCCGTACCTCTTTAGGTTCATCAGGTCCCCGATGCTGCCGCGCACTTGCCCGCCCAGCCGCAGGTTGGTCCGGGAGAGCGCCGGCGAGGGCGGCACCGACCGCGGGCCGCCCTCGGCCTGCAGCTTGTCCAGGTCCGAGAGGGACGAGCCCCGACGCAGGCCATGCCGCGGCTGCGACCGAGCGCCCTTCTCCTTCGGAATGCGTTCCTTCTCACGGTGCACGCTCCTCGAGGAGATGGACGACCTCATCGCGAAGAGACCCGCCTTCAGCGGGAACAGCAGCGCCCACTCGGTCGACCGGTCGCGGGCCTCCATGGCGGCGTCCACCTCGGCGTCCACCTCGACGAGAGAGGCCCCGCCCGAGTCGGGGAGCGGCTCGGCGCGGTCTGCGAGCGTCCCCGAGGTCGCAGCCGACGGGGGTCCACCCGTGGCGGACCTCTCGCGGCTCTTTTCACTTAACTTAACACGACCGCCCGCGAAGAAGAGCCCCGCTCCACGGTAATCCCCTCGGCACGCCCCGAGGAGTATCACCGCTCCTCGCTTCCCTCTAATAAAAGCTAATAACGATCGATAATTGGGTTCCGGCGAGCCGGAAGAGCGCCCCCGAGGACCCTCGACGGGAGCGAGGACGTCCGCGATTCCTCCGACGCGTGTTTCCCGACCGTCGGTCCGCCGACTACTGGCCGCGGCCGAATCGGCCGGTTCCAGAAAACCGAGCCGGAGCGCCGTCGGGAGGCAACCTTCGGAGCCGAAGGTGAGTCGCCGGCCCGCGACTCTGGTTGTTTCCATAACCATCATGAGGGCTCCCGATCGTCACGCCTGGCCCACTTAGATACGGTCGCGAAGGTCGGAGTTCCTGGACTCCTCTTCTTTCCGCGAGGTCAACGTCCAGTTCCGCGGTCTCGGGACTGCGTCGACCCCTCCGCCCGCCGGGCTTCGGACGGAACCTCTCCTCTCCCGGCTTCGACTTCGGCGGTCCGGAACCCTTTCGACGCGATCAACCGGTCGGGACGCGAGGAACGCGCCCCAGGAGGCGACTCGAACCTGGAAGGACCCGGCAAACGCTCGAGTACGTATAATCTGGTCCGGCCAATCCGGAAACCGAGAGGCGAGGATGGGTACCCGGCGTCGGAAACGAGTTGGAAAGGGGTTGAAACGAACCCCACCTTCGCTCGTTAGCCCTAGGCATCTCCTTTGAGGTCGTAATCGAAACGAGCCGGGGAGCTTTCTCGAGGAACACGGTGCCCCGGGAATGCTCCTCGTGCACGCCACGGGAAAAAAGGAGCGCGCCGACGCACCTAACCTCCTGAAGAGATAATTGGAATTGAAGGGAAGCGGCGGAGATGAAAAAGGCAGGCTCGCTCCCGCGGACCAAGGGAGAGAGAGACCAAGTCCTGGACTCCGGATTTAAATTGTTCGCGTTCGACGTTTTCCTTCGTTCTTCCCCCGAATTTTTCCGTCCTTCGGATTCGTCCCTTCCCCTTCTCTTTACGAGTCGGTCGAAGACAATTCCAATTGAAACTCAACGTTATATTTCAATGACGCCGAATGGTTTATAAAGAGGTTAACGGTAGCGATCGTTAGCGTCGAGTCGAAGAATTGTCGATGCAACGGCGAGCCCCGAAACTCGCGATTGGGCTCGGATCAAATATCCACTTGGCCGACACGCCTACGTTAATGGAACTTTCGTGTAGGCCATCCTTCAGTCCACGGCTGCAATTTCCGGAACGGCTCGAGACGCCAAAATTTCGTCGATCCCCTTCAAGAATCATCGATCGATACGACATCGATCGGAAACGGAGCCAATTTGCGAACGGCTCGAGTCTTCTCGATTTGCCGGCGGCTCGATACGAGGGCACGTAGGAAAGGGGAAGCGCGAGGGCGTATCAAGAGAGGGGGAGAGAGAGAGAGAGAGAGAGAAAGTTGGAAAGCCTTCGCAAATTGCAAGACGGAAGCTTAATGAATGCGTAAGAAGTTTCCTCCCTTGGATCCATCCACTTAGACGAGGCACATAATTTAAGCATACACGTAAGGAAGTTTGCCGATATACCGATATACCCAGAGAATGGTTGGACCAAAGTATCAGGAGCGCGTACTCTCGATCGATATCGACAAACTTTAGAGAAACGCTTTACTTCCCAAGGCCTGGATTACGAGCAACTTCGCGTTGACTCGAAATTCTATTTAAAACGTTTACCCGGAATCGAGGAAGACGTTTTGCGTATCCGCGAGAATCGTCCCCGGAAAGGTACGCGCGTTCGTGCCCTCGTACGCCGACACGGATCCAGCAAGAGCAACATTCGAGTTAAACGCATTCTCGCCAAGGTTGCCCCGCAAATGCGGGCACATAAATCGTCGGAGGGCCATTCACGGTCGCGTGCACGGAAGAAACGCGTGTCTCCTACAAGGACGGCGTCCTTCGACCGGAGGTCCGGGTGATCGACACGTTGGCGTTCCATTGTTTTCGACGATACCCACGACTCGTTATCGGACGACTCGGAAGATCGATCGAACTCACGTTTAGCTGCATGGTGATCTTGTTGTACGCCCAGTGCCACCTCTGCATCGGCGTCATCTCGGCGCGTTCCTTCAGTTGAGTGGGGACCGGTGCGACTCCGACCATCTCCAAAAGCTCCTCGTCGGCCGGGGGTTCTGGGGGGCTTCTCGGTGGAGTATCCATTTGGACGCTCTCCTCCAACGACGTTTGTTTCGTCATACTCCCTGATAACGTTCGAGACACCTCTCTTAGCCCGAAGCATCGTCTGACTTCGTATTTCCAACTCGGGCCCGAGCCCGAGAAATGGTCGCTCGACGCCTAGGGTCTCTCCCGTAGGACGAGTCGCACAGCCTCGCTCGCGATTATCGCTGTCAGTAAAGGAACGAATTTCTTCGAGTCTTACCTCGTGGGCTTTCGTCGCGGGAAATCGGCGGAGTTCCCTTGTAGGGTTCCACCAAAGAGTTCTCGCGGGACCCTCGATGAAGAGCTTCCTCGCCTCGTTCGTACCTAAAATTAACGATCGGGTGGTTGATGTCGTCCGACGACGTATTCGCGCAATAAATAATTAGTCGAGCGCGAGCCGAGCACGCGTACCTCTCGAGCATCTCGTCCGTCATTTTGCATTCTCCGTTGATCGCGTTGCTCAGCACGATCTCCTCGTCGATGGAGTCCTGGTCCTTGAAATAACCCCGTTGGTAGCTTTCGGCTCTGGAAATGGGTTGCGGAGCGTTGAAGTTTTGCCCGTACGTTTGTCTGCCGAGATCCCTCTTGAGGTAGGAATCGTTCCTGTTCGACTGGGTCTTGAACGAGTCCTGAGTGACGGACGAGTAGGAATCCTTCCTGGCGGACTGAACGAAAGAGTCCCTTCTACCGGGAGATCCGTACTCCTCCTCGAAATGGTCGGAAGCGTATGAGTCGCCTCTCGTAAGTTTCGGCTTCTGCGAATGCGTCGACGAGTGCTGACTGATTTGACTCTGGTGTGACAACTGGGAGTCCTTCCTCCGAGGTTCCTTGGGAACGATTTCGGGATATTCCTCCTCGTCCATGGTGTCCTCGCGGTAAGAATCGGTCCTGGCCAGTCGTTTCCCGTTGCTCGTCGTCGTCGGATGTACCATGGCAGTGGTTACGACGGTATTCTGCAGGTGGTTGGCGGCCACGTGATTCGCTGCGACGCGGTCGACGGTAAGGGGCGCCTGGGTCTGCGCGAGGCTCTGGGGCGAGTCGACCAGGGTGGCGGCGGCGGGACTCGAGTCTCCGGCCGTGGAATACTCCGAGAACCTCCTCATGGGCTGGCTGCTGCCGACCGAGCTCACCGCCGTCTCGAACGAGTCCTTCAGCTCGTCGTCCCTCGACTCCAGGGAATCCGTGTTCTGCTGCACCAAGGGACTGGCTTCTCGTTTTCCCAACTTCATTCTTCTGGAGGATCCCAGGGGCGAGACGTCCTGGCCGTCCTGGCAAGGATAAAAGTATTCGGATTCGCTGGAAGGGTAACCGTTGGTCTTCGTCTGGCCTCTGGGCGTCGTCACCGAGACCTCGGGGACTTCGCTCTTCCTCCTTTCCGTGCTCATCGAACGTTGCTCCGACAGTTGCTCCTTGTACTTATCCTCGAAGGATCCTTCGTACGAGTCCTGATGGTAGGTGTCGTCGCGTTGCCGCGAGTAGTCCTCGTATTCGTACTTGTCCTTGTAATCTGTACTCTCCGTAGGCTGTTGCTGCTGCTGCTGCTGCTGTTGCTGCTGTTCCTGTTGCTGTTGCTGCTGTTGCTGCTGTTGCTGCTGCTGCTGCTGCTGCTGCTGCTGTGCTGCTGCTGCTGCTGCTGCTGCTGCTGTTGCTGCTGCGGTTCCTCCTCCTTGTCGTACGTCTTCCGATAATCCTGATAGTCTTCTCGTTGCTTGTCGTACGAGTCTTTCTCGTAGTCCTGGTAGTCCTCATCCTGCTTCCGATAATTCGAGTAGTCCTCGTGCTGCTTGTCGTAAGACTGCTTCCGATAATCCGTGTAATCCTCCCGTTGCTCATCGTAAGGTTGCTCCCGGTAATCCAAATAGCCCTCCCCGCGTTGCTCGTCGTAAGGCTGCTTCCGATAATCAGAATAATCCTCCCGTTGCTTATCGTGAGATTGCTCCGAATAATTCGCATAGTCGTCCCGCTGCTTATCGTAAGATTGCTTTCGATAATTCGAATAGTCCTCCTGCTGCGTCTCATAAGGTTGCTGGTATCCTTGTGAGGCGGCAACCGAAGTCTGGCCGTAATTATCCTCGTAAGTCTCTCGATGAGCGTCCTGGTAGTCGGCAGAAGCGGTCGCGTCGTATCCACTTTCGTAGGACTCCGGCGGATACCGACCGTAATCACCGGTCACGTTATTCCGCATCTCGTACGTGCTCGTCGTCACGGGTGCGGTATAACCCATGCCGTACCGCTCCTGATAGCCTTCTTCTTTGTACGGCTGCTCGTATCCCTGACCGTTGTTCTCGTCGTAAACGACCCCCTGGTAGTTACCCTCGTTTACCTCCTCCCGCGACTTGTCGCGGACGTCGTGGCTCGGTTGCGAATAAGTCTCTTGATAGGACTTTTGGTATATTTCCGTCGACTGGACGTAGGGCTGCCGATTCTCGTCCTCCCGAGTATTCCGAGGATAGGCCTGGTCCTCCTCGTAGGTGGGCAGTTTGTGGGGTTCCACGTATCCCTGGTCGTAGGTAGTCGACGTCGAATACTGGTCCTGTACTTGGTCGTACTCTTCCGTGTACCGATTTTGCGTCGAGCCCGCGTAAGGATCCGCTACTTGGGTCCGATCGTAGTCCTCGCCGTAGACGTTGTCGAGGTACGAGTCCTGCGGAAGATTGTCTTGACTACGGTACGCGTAATTGTAGTCCTCGTTATAGTCCGATTTGTAGTAGCCTTCTTCGGAGGGAGTTCTGGTCCTTGGCAGTTGTCGGCCAGGTGTAGCGGGAAGCGAGACGGGTTTCCGGCCCAGCACCACGTTGCTGGGCTTCGTTGGTGTCGGCGGTAATTTTTTCCCCGTACCTTCTTGACGCGACGTGGGACGCTGTTGAGGCTGCAACGTCTTCCTCCGACGGGAACTTTGACCGCTACGGGGAGAAAGAAAAGGCATTAGAGACTCGAACGCTGCTTTCTTCGAGGCTGATATCTTGGAAGCTCGAATTAGATATTTCGAAGGAGCTAGAGCGCGGAATCGGCGATTACCCGTAGTTAATTTCTTCGGAATCGTAGCTGCGCTGTCTGGTTACCGTCGGTCTGTACTCTGGCCGATGAATGCCTATGCTGGACGCTGGTCTTTGGGGGAGGGTCTTCCTGTTGCGTTTGTTCTCGTAATACGTATTCGATCCCGAGTACCACTTCCCCCCGCTGTCCCACTGCCTGTCCTCGTCGTCTCTCCCGTATCTGTAGGCCACGTGTGACTCGTCATGCGACGTTGGTAATTACCCAACGGGTGCTGATCGAAACGTATTTTACCTTTCATCCTGGTACAGGTATCCCGTCATACCGTCGAGGTACCTAACGCCCGTGTGGCTTTCCGAATACGTTGCACTCATCTCTCCGATCCTCGCGTCGGCGTAGTCATCGGTCGTATAGTGCGAATGCTCGTCATACAGCGTCGTTTGCCTTTCCAGCGACGGTCTTCTGTGAGGACCTGAGATCGTGACGGTTCTCCGTTTGAGAACGTTTCGTATGAAATGAAAATTCAGACTTATCTGCTAGCAAGTGACTGCCTTTTTATTTTTAACAATTGCGATCCGATCGATCGGTTTTTGGGATGTCGACCGGGCATAGAACCGATCGAAATCGCGTCGTTCCGTCGCGAATTCCGCGACCGGGAAACGTATCGTACCGTATTTACCGAAAAGAGAAGGAAACGAATCGAGGATTTGGCACAAGTTCCAAGCAATCAACCGTATGCAATCGCAACGAAATGCCCCAACTTCTTGAACCGTTCGTTCCAGTTTTCGTGTACTTGCCTCTTCTTCTCGAAAACGTGGTGGTTCCGGTACCGGAATAGTACTCCGTATCGCTGTAAATTCTAGTTTCGTCGACTCTGGTCCCCGTGTAGTCGTAGCCCTCGCTGTACCAGCCATCTTGACTGAAACGAGAGTAATCCCTCTGAGCAAAAGCGCGCTCGTTTCTCTTCCTTTCGTCGCGCAGCGCGTTATGACGTCCACGGAGTCGCCGATCGTTGAAAAATGAAGGGGTGATCCAATGGCGGTGACCTTCGGGAGCTAAATGAGACTCATGCACCTACGTCGAATTTGCTCTTTACGACTCCGCTCTACTCGAGAATCGAAAATGACCGTCTCGAGAGGCGTTACGACGCCGTCAAAGTTGAAATCTGTCGGGTGCAAGGAGGAACGCGATTCGATCGTCGATGCGTAGGAGGACCGAGTCGAGTGCATTCGAGCGGCGTGCATCGTGGACGCGAGAAGTGAAAAATCGTCGCGACGACGCTCCGAATGGATTCACTGGCTTACTGTTCCTACCTGTCCTCGTAATCCCACGTGTGCTTCCGTCGTCTGAATCATACAAGAAAAGGTAATATATGGTTTTCCAAATCTTACAGGTTACCGGGCATAGTGCCGCGCATAATGTTCGAGTTTACTTCACTCGTTAAAGATAAGCCGCGAAAGGGTTCGAAAGAAATCTCCGGAATCGATCGACTCTCTCAGAGGAGCCGCACCTCGAGCGTCGAGCCGGCCGGTATTCCGCAGTCGGATCGTTTCGATTCCGGTCCACTCGGACGGCTTACCTGTATTCCTTGTAGTGCCTCGGTCTGCTGTTGTAGAAAAGTGGCTCGGAAGATTCGGCGGTCTGCGAGGAATACCTTTGGGGCGGTCCTTCTTCCGGATACGGCTCGTCGTACCTCGGACTGTGCCCTCTTCCACCGTACCCACCGTAAGTCCCGGCAGCCAATCTACCACCAAACGTCGGTGGAATCTGCAAACACGGTTGAACGCGAGTTGGCCGTCGCGCGAACCGGGCCTTGCCGACTCACCTGATGATCGTCCCTCTCGTAGCTGTTTTCCCTCGACGTCTCCAGAGATCTCTGAGGGGTCGCCAACTGATTGGCCGCCGTGCGGAATTGCGAGGCCGAGCTGTTGGCTCCTTGCCCCCCCACGGGGTAGTTTAAATCCGACGTGTAATCCGAGTCCTCCGAGTACCCCGCTGGAAGAGAGTCGGTCGTTATTCGCCGATCGTCGCGAATCGAAGGAAGCGGAGGGGTACTCACAGTGGCCTATATTGTAAAGTATCTGCCGACGCGCCTGTTCCGCTCTCGCCTCCTGGTCCATCGTGTTGTTCAGCATCTCGAGCTTCCTCTGCAGATCCGCCGCTTCCGTGTTCTCGGGGTCTGGTGGCCGGACAGAGAGAAGACGCCTCGTGAGTCGCGCGATCGGCCGCCGAGGGAGCCGAGGGGGTCAATGAGATCGCCTGCCGAACCCGGCTCGGGGGCGCCCGCGAAATACCCGAGTACCCGAATACCCGAGCCCCGACTCTCCCTCGGGCTTCGCGAGTTCGCGCCCGCGCGTCTCCCGGTTCACCCTGGATATGCAATTAGAAAGAAGGTCAAGTCTCTGGAAGAGAGTTCCTCCCCCGCTGCTCTCGTTCGTCGACCGGCCTCGCCCTCTCGCCCTCTCGCCCTCTCGCCCTCTCGCCCTCTCGCCCTCTGTCCGTCCACCTCGACGTTTGCCCAAGGGGGAGAATCTCTTGTCGCGAGCGCGCCGTGACGCCCTTTCCACCGATCGGTCGAATCGCGCCTATCTCCGAAGCTCGCCGCGACAACCCTTGCCGCTTCGTTGCCGGCGCTCCTCCGAGACCTCCTCGGACCCCCTTTCGTTCGTGGACGCGGTTCCCTCCTACAGAGGGGTATTTCTATTCTACGTTTACATAGAAAGTCTTTAAAGAGAGAACGGCTCTTGGTATATCTTTGTCAGGCTGTGGTAAGTCAAAATTGGAATCAAGTTGCAAAATCTCCAGATGAACGGAATCCTATTAAACTGACGTCTAGGCACACGTCTAGGAAAAGTTGTAAGGAAAGGCACACGTTGCACGATGCTTCTCCATGCTAATCGACGTGTCTCGCTATAGCTAGATTTCGATCGACATTCGCGCACGTTCGCAGGCAAGAACCGCCGAGACCCTTCCGAAGTGTCGTCCTTTTCTGTGTCAAGTAAGAAACACTCGATTTCCCCTGTTCTGGGTGTTTTTCGGTTACTTCACCGATTCTTCGTTAATCAAATTCAGCCGAAACCGGTCTGCCGCGTCCCTCACCGAGACGCATTGAACAGAGATGAGATAAAAACGATATGCGTCTTTAGAGAAGAAACCGCTCGATCGCGTTCGAACCCCGGTTCGACGCCATCGATCCGTATAACGAAACTTTAGCGGGAAATGTCGAAAATCCGTGGCGAAAGGGACTCGCGATATGCATAGAGAGACACGGAGAGACAACGGACAGAGACACCCGCGGGTATAAAAACGTGGGGAAATAGACAGAGACAGATATCGAGTAGAAAACGGCGAGGTATACACAGGTGCTAATTACAGTGTCGCAGCCATAGCTCGATGTGCCTGCAGGTATCCTCCGGTAACTTCTTGAATTTTTATTTTCGAAAATGCCTCGAACGACAGTGACTCGTCACACAAAGATCCCGATTCGAAGAACTAAGCCCACCCTCTGTGCTATCGCCGCGCCACTGCGTATACGTGCTGTGTCCGGAGAAACGTGGTCGGGTGCTGCTCTCGAATCATCCCCGTATCGAAGATACCTCGCTCGAGTCGTTGGTCCGTACGAGGAAAAACTGACATTCCTGGAAACCTCTCGTTTTCTGAACCAAAGACCTCGAGCTTCTTTCTCTTCTAATCTATATAAGGAATCGTCCGTTCGAGTCGGAAGTGCGGTTTGCTACTTTGTGCTTCATTCGAAAGGAGGGCCACCGGTGTTCGATGTCTATGTCTAGTCGTTATTCGTATTCCGGACCGGATTCGTATCCGGCCATCTCGGGCCGAATATCCATGTCGCGTGCTCGTCGGACGGGTAGGATACATTGATTCGCGTACACTGACAAATGGACATATATGCACGTATATGTAAACACGTACGAATGCAAGGTAGAGAGAATGACAGGGGTCGGAATAGAAAATTAAGCAGAAACATCGAACATCTCCACGTGTATCTATCCACGCGTTCACCACACACACACGCGCGAGAGCGCACACTCATGTAGCTTACGGGGTTTTTAGAGGTATTCGGGGGAGAAAAAGACAGAGAGAGAGAGAGAGAGGCGGTGCACTCGTAGGAAATAGGGAGCTCGTTGGACATCCGATTGGTCGCTTCTCTTCGAGAGGAATAATTTGCTCCTTTCGCCTCGTGGGGAGACGAAAGTAAAGACGGCCGAAATCGTCGGTAAAATTAAACGAGCCGAAGTCGAAGTTCCCAATCTTGGTAACGATCCAAAGAGCCCCCGAAAGTATACGAATCTGGTGCAGTGGCTGGCGAGCAAGACGGGGGATTATCGCTAAGTAAGAAAAAATGCCGTGAATCGTAAACGTCTAACCGTGGACGCGTACCGATAGTCCTTCGTACATTACGGTCCCTCGATACTCGAGCGACTCGCCGAGAGTACGCGCTCGGAAGAAAAAGAAAGAAGGAAAGAACTCGAGGCGATTACGTATCCACGGTAAGGCTATCCACGTTCCTTGAGTTTCGATTCGGACGAGGAGAGCGTAAGATGAGAAGATCCCGAAGATCGATCGACGATCTCGGATCGTTTTCGATCGATTCGATCGATCTCGAGGGTACCTGAGCCACACGTGGGCCGAGCTGCTCGCAACTGCATAGCCGTTTCGCTGGTTAGCAACGCTTTCCATCCGGTCGGTGGATCGTACTTTCCTGATCAGTTTAATATATTATACGCCTCAGTAATACGTCTCAAGTATACATTCTACGAGAACGATGGCATTCGCGCGATTCTGTCGGTCAGACGGAATTGGATCCAGGGAAAAGGAGAGAACGGAGAATGCGGAGCAATTCCTCGACTTTCGACGTTACGTTCGTCCCGGAGGTGGACGATTCCGTGTATTCGAACGGATCCCACGTCGGCAGGCAGAGAGCCAAAAGCCGCCGAGTCTCGGAAAGCGCTCGATCAAAGCGCGCCGCGACGGAGACCGACTTTCCCGTCGCGAATCGCTCCGCATCCGCGAGGACCGCCCGCTTCCGGAGCGGACGCAGCGCGGAACTTTCCGAGATTCCGGGGAAAATGCCACCTCGGGTCGATTCGACCGTTTGCCCAATGGGCAGCGAGTTCTCGCGCAGGGCTGCGTTCGGCCCGTGCAAGGCCATCGAAGTTACTCACCGAAGGGCAGCTCGAAGCGGCAGTCGATGAGCAGCATGTGACCCGAGGGCGACTTGGTGCCGACCACCTCGCCGCCTCGCATCTCCAGCTCCGAGTCCAGGCTCACCCATTGTCCGCAGCCTTCCTACAAAGTGACGCGATTCAAGGCGAGCCGCGTCTTCTCGCCCGATCCCTGGCCGTGTACGTGGCCAGTCTCGCGCGTGCCTCCTTCGAGGCGGCCGATGGACCGCGCGAAGTACCGCCGCGTTTCCCTGCGATTTACGAGCCGGCGGAACGCGGAGAATGCTCATTCGTGCCCGAGTCGGCGTTAAGTGACCGGGCCACGCGTATAAGGGACCCACCGTTAACCTATCTCTGCTTATCAGCCGCCGTACATCGAGTCGTATTACGAGATACCGTAAAACGAGACACGGCGAAGCTTCGCGTACGAGCCGACCTATGAATCACGGTAAAACTGCCCATATTACGATCCATTGTAAACCGCCGAGGAGATTTACGAGAGGCTCGAACGCGGTCGGTGGTTACACGATTTACCTAGGGTAGCGACAACACTTGATTTGCCCAGGGTTGACCACCCCCGCACGCTTCCACCTACGACCCGATTCCCTTCCGTATTAACCCAAGCCGTCCCTCGCCCTTCTTCTTCCTCGTCGGACGACCTTCCCGAGGCCGGTTTCGAAAGGACCGCTTCAACGTGAACGACGCGGGATCGATATATCTTTAAAACGAAGGGAGAAGGTGCGTTTTCGCGTCCAAGAGGGGTCCAATCAACGGCACGTCCCCGGTTCGACGAAACGGTAGAGACGACGCAGAGAGGGAAAACCGGTAGCGACGCGGCTCGTAAAAACGCAACGTTTTCCCCGATGCAAGGACAATCTGGGTCAGGCCTGGCTTAAAATATTCATAATGCCGCACGCGAGATCTACATACGAGCGGTTCGATTCGCATTAGAAACGCGCTGACTGGGGTATGTCAAGTAACTCCGACGTCTCTCGTCCTCGACTCGATCCGTTCTCCTCTCGCGTCCGTCTCCTTTCCCTCCGCTCCACGATTTGGCCGAAGTCGAAGGCCCGCTCTTCCTCTTTATTGGCGACCGGGAGCCCGCGCGCCTTCTTCTCTCCTACGAGGGGAAGGTCTCCGGGACCGTGGGTCGGAAAGAGGGAATTCAAATGCTCCTCCAATGGTAATCGGTGAAAATATCGAAAGCGACGATCGGACTCTCGGTTCCAAGAGACGTGTACCGTGTTCATGTCCCCTTGCAGTGGTGCATTGCTGTTAGTGTCTGAGGTGTTTGTCGTGGTCTGGTGCTGTTGTCCGTGTAATGGATCTTGCGACTCCCGTGGTCTTACGTCGGGATAGGTCGTTACCTCGTTCGAGTAGGGCACTTTCGGCAACGGGATGTAATGGTAGCCCAACGCTCGGTCCCAGATCATTCCCTTGCTCCAGACCTCCACCAGCAACCCCGTGTTCACGTCGTTTGTCTCGCTGTGGATTTATGGATGCGTCACCGGTATTTACGGACAGTAAATAAAAAGCGTGCGCAATTGATTTCGGAGAAAAAGGAAGCTCGCGTTACGTCAGAACCCACGAGAACAAATGACTGACTTATGCGCGAGACGATTCTCTCCTCGCGGTCCCCGGATCACGAGGTCTCGACGGTTCGACTCACAAAAGGAAATCCTGTTCCCAACATGGATTCGCCCCCTTGACAGTGACCGTCGTTGATTTCACGTTTTGCAGCTTCAGGGTGACGTAGGTGTTGAATTGTTGCGCTGAAAATGCAACGAAAACGCTTCGTGAGGTCAACCGGCGAGGCACGGGAGTGTTTTTGCTACTTTCGGTCAAGACAGATATAGGTATATTAGTTTAGATTCGAAGTAAGAGAATTAACCGGTAGGGAACGTCCGGATGCGTCCTCTCAACGAGCATAACGGCCGACTACTTCGACGAGAATCGTTTTTCAAAAAAAATTCTGCCGACCGGCCCGGTCTGTCGGAAAATTCGGAAAGACTGATTCCTCCAAACGCGATATTTTCTCGTCGCTTCGGGTTGGACGTTTGCTAAGTAAAAGGAAACGAGGACAATTAATACTACTACAAACCTTGGACCCCGACGAACCTCGCTTTTTTCACTGTAACATAAAGAAGAACCTTGTTAGGTGGAAACATTGCGAAGAAATCGAATTCCTTAAGAGCCTCCTTGTTTCTACAAACATACTTGCACATTTAGAAATTTTTCCTTATCACGGAAACGATTCGAGTGAAAGAAGCGTGTTAAATTCTCGTCAATCCGCGAGTAAATTCTTTCTTCGTCGTAACGGAATCGAGAGTTTAGTCTTCGCGTGGACGCGCGACGATCCCCAATTGTGACGGAGTCTGAAAAATAAAATATTAGGCTCCCTTTTTCCCTTCCCATTTTACCTCATTCGAATGACCGGCCCTGGGTGAGGTGGGTGGTTAATCGAAAATCTTTGCCGGTCGCTACCGCGAATCGTTTAAATATTTTCCGTTTTGCCTCTTCCCCCGCTTCAAAATTCCACGAAGCGCGCAATTAAATCGACCCCACTTCGGAGGAGTCTCTCGTCGGGAATGATCGATTTTCTTGAGGTCGACCGACTTTCTAGCTTTTTACCGCCTAACGGCGGAGACGCGGCTATTGCTTCGAGACACGATACACGCGTTCGCGGAAAGTTGGTTTAACAGTCATTTCGACCGAGTAAAACGTTACGAGAGAAGGGAAAAGGAAATAACGCGCGCCGAGGAAAGGTCGGCTGGTTGTTGTAACGCGCGCGTTTCGAAGCGTTGACCTGTGCGCGAGGAAATGTCGAGGAATAAGCAGGGACACCCGATGACGAGCCTCTTGCCTTCGGGTTAAGTGCGATACACTCGAGAGGTTTCTCCCCCTCGTACTTTCGTAACTGCTAACGGAGGTTCGAGTTCCCCTGGTTGCGCTCTCGATCGCCACCCCGTCGATCGACGGTTGAAGCAAATCAAACCCGACAACCGTCTTCTGCCGTCTGCCCCGTCTACCTCCGGAGAGGATGCGCACCGTCGGCGGAACCTCGCATCGAGAAAGGGGACCGTGGGACCGAGGAACCGGGCAAAGAGATGACGTCAACTTTAACGCTTCAGACGCGATCTTTACCTCCGACACAGTGCCTCGGCCGGTCGGAATACCGGGTAGGTGGTCGCCGTCGTCGAGGGTGCGTACCTGCGCGAGGGACCGCCCACACGACCACGCGTCTTCGTGGCGGGCTATCTCTTATCGAGGTCGCTCGTATCTCGTCGTTCCAGGGACGGTGACGTGTAGGGCGTGCGCGTCGCGTGGATGAATGTGAATAGACGAGCCTAGAGTAGAGCGCTAGTAGCTCGAACGCCTTCAAAAGCACCTTTCCAGTTTCACGGAAGTATTCTCAAAGCCTGCGCTCCCTTCTCTCGCGTCCGGGACCCGAAAGTGAAAGACGGTGACCCAGACCGGAAGCGGACCGTATCGATTCAATTTTCCCGAGTTTCAAAAGATTCGACGGACGCACGGGCCCTCGCTCGCTCCGTCTACGCGAGAAATGAACAACTTGCGTATCTCCAGGTATTTTTCCGACGACACCGTTCCGGAGACGAGTACCGCTTGATTCGCGCACGAGCGATAAAGGTCGGGGAAGCTCGTCGACGGCTTACGAACCCTCGCACCGTCGCTTCTCGCCGGCGACGATACCTACTTAACCGGCAGCGACGGATAACGTATCTGCGGTTTCGACGACGTAAAATCGATGTCGTTCAAACCGGTCGATGTAGGTGTACGGTATCTATACGCACGCGGGCAAATGTAACGTCGTCTCGTGGAAGCCCTTTAAACTCACCCGTAATCGCGACCAACGTCGCCGAAGCATCTTCGGTGGCGTTAGCAGTTCGACCGTATTTACCTCGGTACGTTCGAAGGTCTCGGATCGGATTTGAAAGGGTTAAGGGTACTGACGTGAAATGGAATCGCGGCGATCGTCGATGACGGTCCGGGAGGATACTTCCTCGTGGGAGGCGTTTGGCGTGTACCCTGTGGCAAGTCGACCCTCGACGTTCGCGAAAACACCGTTTCCGATTCCGTCGGCGTAATTCATCGCTCGACTGTCGAGCAAACCCGCGGTTCGGTTCAACGAGTTACGTAAAGCCACTTTGACCGCTCGCCAATAATTGCGCGGAAGCGATTAATCGAACGACCCGCTCGCCTTTCGAGTTCGAAACGGACGGATCCGGGCGATACACGTCCCTCTCCCGTGTCCAATGAAACTCGGGAGAAGAAGGAAACATGGTCTCACCTTCGTTTCCACCGTTCCCCTCTTTCGAAAGTACAGGACGGAGAGGTTTCACGCGAGTTTCGAACCGACTACCGAGCAACGGCCGTCCCCCCGCTGCGCGTCTTTCCGATCGAACGCGCTGGCCAGGCCCTCCTCCCTGTCCGACGGAGGAATACCTCGGCGGTCTACGCGAGCGGAGTAGTTCGATCGAATCGCGGTATTATTCGCGAATGGACTCGTGCTCGGAGAGAAAAAGGAGAAGAGCAAAAGTTCTTTCGGGTGAGCTTCCGCTCGATCGAGGGCGACAGGCGAAGGGGAGTGCAAAGGAGGACACGTTGCTCAAAGTGGCGACGTCGATCAAAGCGAACCCCTGACTTCGTTCTAGTCGACGTGCCGCTAACTTACGAGGGCTTGATAAAACGTGAAACGCTCGATTCCCCATTTACTTATTTCAAAAGTCTTCGCCGAACCGAAGGAGCCACGAAACGCGCGCGGGAAATGGACGCGAGGAGAAGGGCGGTCCTATCTTAAACTACCCGATTTTCCACTCCGTATCCTAAACTATGTAAAATAGCGTAAAGGTCGAAGGTGCAAAGAATCGCTCGTGATTCCGACGTCGAGAACCGATCGATGCACGCGTGCCGGACATCGCCGCGAGCGCATATCGCGTGCCTACGAGAGCGCTTATCGCTTTTCAATTGATCCATCTCGGCGCACCTTTCGGATGATAGCGGATAGACAACGATTCGAGCCGCGCTCGCAGGTGCACCCACGGTGCCTCCCGGTGTCGGTAACCTACCCCTCCCGGGGGCTCCCGGGAGCTCCCGCTCGCGAGATGGAGCTGCTGGGGCGGCGGGCGGCAGACGGCAGAGGGAGGGAATGACCCCGCGGGCTGGGGTCAACCGTTCCACCTTACTCGCGGTCGGGGTTGCGTGAGGACGCCCGAATCCCGCGCGTATCCACCTGCCCTGGTCGGTACGGCGAACGACACGGCACTCGGCGGGGGCGCTCTTCCATCGAATACCGCCGACAACGGGAGACTCGGTGACGAATTTGCGTAGAAACTCTTCGACCCAGCCGCGAAAAATTCATTTCTTTAATCGACGTGACGTGCAAGCAACGACAAATTCCAAGGTAGTCCTACTTCGAATAACTATTAACGGCCGGAAACGCCCCGGGTCCCCGGACTCGTCCCTAGAGGGTCACCGAATTTCTTTTCTCCAACCCCGTCTTTCCGATTCCACCCTTTCCGTAGTCTCTTCTCGCGAGTCAATCGATCTTGGCAATTTTCTAATCGACTCTCTTGGAAATTAGTTAAAAATAAGACAAGGCACTTATTGAGCAGCTTACCGGTGACGTTAAGCAGGGACATGTCGTGGAACTACTCGGTCGATGAATCGGGTTAACGTTCGGCCGCGAGCTCCGATTTCTCTTCGTTCTTCCCGACGTCGCTACGGATCGTCGTCTCGAGTCGTCGTCTCGAGTCGTCGTCTCGAGTCGTCGTGTCGGGGCGTCGTCTCGGGGCGTCGTTGCGGAGCGTCCTCTTCGGGTGTCTGGGCGATCTCGTCGTTCCCCAACCGAGAGGGGCCGGATGGGACGTACACGCGGACCGGTCGATCGCCCTCTATCTAGCGGAAAGGCGCGTGGGCACGCATCTCGTCCGCCCCCCCTAGAAATCATAGGCATCGTTCCGCTTGCATCATCTACGACTGATCCGCTCTTTACGAGTCGACCTCGTCTTTCCCCAACGCGACCTAAGAACTCCGATCATTTTTGGGCCGTGCAATGAATCTTCGAGAAACCCACCCCACGACTAATTTTTATACTTGCGGATTCACGTGAACTTCGTTTGTCGCAAAATGTCGCGGGAAACCGCGCGACGCCGATGACAAAAGAAGAGGAGGGACGGCACCCTCCTCTCGCGAACCTCTCGAACCTTTCACTCGCCGAGGTGGAACCTCCACGGGCTGGAGCGAAGAGAGAAGAACCCAAGGGCGGGAAACAAAGGGAGGGTCGTGGGCTGCTGCTGTCGCATCCGAAGGGGATCCGGTAAGCGAGTTGCGTCTCGAGACTAAAAATTCAGATAATTCATCGAATCCGGATCAACGTTCCGCGTCAACGTTTTAGAAAGAGTAGAACGACCAACGAAACGCATCGATTCTCCCGCGATCGATCCTTTCGCTGTTACGGATGCGTAAACGCGTCCACGGGAATAAAATTAGCCCTTACGTAAAAGACATAGGCACGTACCGCCGGAGAGAAGGAGGAAATCGCGTAAGGGGAAAAGTACTCGAAGGCACGGATTCGGTCGGCCGGGTCGCGTGCCTACGCACGGCCTACGCACGGCCTACGCACGGCCTACGCACGACCTACGCCAAGACGACCCTTCGACCGAGGCCAGCCCGTACGCCCGCTCGCTCCTACCCCGATACCGATCCAGCGACGCCGAAGCTACTGCGCGATCCCCCGGTGCCAGGGTCCGCGGAGATCCTTCCGGGCCCGGAGATGGTGGTAGGTCAGGGCTCCGTCCGAGCACTCGGCGTCGGGGTCACGTCGGCTTGGCGAGGACGCCCTCGAGGTAGCGAGCCAACTCGCGATCGTCCCGCGACCGCTCGCGGTGACTCGACCCGGACATGACGCGCGCTCTCTCCCCCCCGGCCCCCTCTCTCTGCCCCTGTCTCGTCGTCCGGTCCCGCGCCGCTGCTCTCGGGGCTCTCAGGGCTCGACCGGATGCGCGCCCTGGCCGACCCGCCTCGAGGCCATCTTCGACCGGTCCCGACGGCGAACTCGCGATCCTAGGCCTCGGGCCGCCTCGACCTCCTCTTGGCTTGCGAGTCTACGCGGACTGTCCGACGAGCACCACTGCGCGGACGGGGACACCTCCGACGCGCCGCCGCCATCTTGCTACGTCAACGACTCCCGACGGCTACGGCCGCCCTATCCCACCCCGGCGGCTCGCGCGTGCGCGCCCGGATATAGTCACTTTCACTCGGGGAGGATCGACCGCCGCCCTCTGCCGACGACGCGTCCGAGCCCGCGAGACGACTCGTCCCCGAGACCTGAAAATGGCCTCTGGATTTTCCTCCTTCCGCGAGCCGGTTCGCGCGACCCGGAAATTCGATAAACGTGCAACTCGTCCCTCACGAGGCGAGTTCGACGACGGAACTCTCGTTTAACGACTTGGAAATTCCTCCGGAACGTACGGGAAAATCCTTGGACCCGAAACAGCGCGTCGAATGAATCTCTCTATTTCTCGTCCGTGTATTTTCCCGGAGGATTCTTTAAACGAAGCTCGATTTGCCCTTTGGGACCGGGGCGGGGGGTTTGCCCGCTCCGAACTAAGCGAAGCCGAGGCGTCGTCAAGGACTCTCGTTAAGGCGTTTCCACGCCGACGAAATCCAATTTGAGCACTAGCTCGAACTCTGCACACGGAATCAACTTCTCCGGAGGATTCGCATCGCGCACTTACCCAGTCGTCGAGATCTCACTTGGAAATTCTAATCTGAGAGTACGTTAGCGACTTCCGGCGATAGCCGGCAACGACTTCGGAGGAGTCGGTTTCGTTTCCATTCCAGTGGCCGACTTACAAAAGGCTGCGGATTTAAAAGCTTCGGGCGGGAAATCCGTGTTCGGAATGTAGCGATCGCAACCGAAAGAGGGACCGACGGTTTTGTCGGTCGGAACGGGGCACCGCGCTTTCTCCGTTCGGGCACGGATGCCGGACAGGGTGAGAGTCCGGTCGCCGGTCGTCAGCGGAGTTTTAACCGTGGAGACGCCCGTCGCGTGCGGTTGCCTTTTATCGGCCTCGTTGCCTAACTTCTGAGTAATCGTCCCTTGCCGAGGGGAACCTGGCTCCGGCAATTGCAAAGCGATCGATTCCCTCGGCAATTAATTCAACGAACGAGAGAAACTCTCCCATCGATCCAGACAGGCGAGATTCGTTCGACTCGTCTTCCATTCATGCGCCATTAACTCCTCTACTTTAATTACAGTCTCTTCCCAAATTAATCCCTTTCATTTCTACGGACGCCATTATCCAGCAGCGAATAGAGCGAGCCTTAAATATTCAAATATTTCCGTATCACCTGTCCTTCCTTCCTTTTTTACCGTTTAATCGAAAACTATCCCGAAGAGGGAGAGTCGCTTCGCCGAAATCGTCCCGCTTAGCTCGAATCCCATGATAAACGGCTGTCTCGGTTCAGGAATTCCAGGAAAACGTTACATTATCCCCGATGTGAGCTGCACGTGATGCAACCTGGTAACGCACCGTGTATGTACCGGACCACCTATCGATCCATGCGCCACGGCCATTTGCATCGCAGATTTTTTCCGTGTCGGCCGAACGTGGATTATATTGAATCTCTCGTAATCGGCACTCGAGAATTCGGCGACAGAGATGAGTTGGGTGATTGCTCACGGGCAGGGACGCGCGATCGCATCGTGTGCTGCCCTCTGGTTTCGTACGTTAACTTTCACCGTTTTTTGCCCCAAAGGGCGGCGCAACGAATTTCTGGTAGGGGTTCGCGGTAAGCAGGACGCGTGTCCGTGCTAAGCGTGGAAGAGTTTCGAGGAAAGGCCGCTAGATGGCAGGAACTCTCGACTCGCGCGGGTGCTCTCGGTCGGTGAACGATCTGTCGGTAGATCGGCGTCGACCGCTGCAGTAGCCGCTCGTGGCGGCATCGGCTGGTCGAAGCTCGAACGCCCGCGGGGCAGACTCGTTCCTTGGCTCCCGAGCTTGGCGACGCGCGGCGAGTGAAGGTGGGAGTGCTGGCCAGCGGACCCGTCCCCGAGGAAGAGCACGGTGTGACGTAAACGGTGATCCAAACAAGTATCAGCTGTGTGGCAGTCATTGTTCGCGTTCGTTCTGGCAGTTCAACGGGAGGCCCGTTTTCTTCCTTTTCCTTGTCGGCTGATCGAACGGGGTCCGCCGTTGCCGCGGAGGTCGGTTCTCGGGGAAAGGTGGGCAAGACACGGGGCGCGAGAAAGAGGGGTGGACCCACGACTCGCGCTCGTCTCGTGCGAGCCTGGCTGCGTGCGTGCGTGCCCCAGCCCCAGCCCCACCAGCGGACTTCGGGACAATAATCGTGTGAAAAACGGGGCGGTACGCGCACAAGCCTGGCCTCGAGCGGCGAGTCGGACGACGGTGGACTCGCTCCGCCACCGCGCAAAAGGTCCCGTAGTTCTCTCCCAACTACTCTCAGACCAGCGGACGAGCACCACTCAAACGCAGACATGGAGAATTATCGGTAATGCGTTTGACTTTTCTTCTTTTCTGAATTTACATCTCGATGGATCTTCTTGCTCCGATTTCCTCGAATCTACTCGCTTCCAATGGATTCATCGAACAAGGCGATGCCTTACACTTGATCGTAATGACCGTTCTGTGTGCATACCACAGCACGATGCAGCAAGCCTCGAACGGAGGAGCTATCTCCACCGGGCCTCAACAGAACGGGGATGCTGCTGACTCCGGTGGATCGCATGCTAACGGGAACCTAGGTTTGGGACCTGACGGCGAACTAAACGGAATGAACGGCGAGACGAATCGAACCATCGGGCCCCCTAAGATTATGGATAAAACGAATCAAGATATCGTGCGGCTCATTGGACAGCACCTCAAAACCGTCGGGCTGGAGTAAGTTTTAGCTAATATTATTTTATTTAATTGTTTTATGTCAGGTACCGTTTTATAATGTCAATGGTACATAAACAGATGCGGTGCTTTGGAAGGCTTAAGGCAAGATCAGGTTTACGATCTGAAATAATCCTGGGTATTCATGGTGACTAATACCTGCATTATTTTGTTTTTCAAAGTAACAGGGTGCACACAATTTAGAAGAATGTGGGAGATTGGTGACTGTCATCTTGCTATTTATGCATCTGGTGGAACTCTAAAAATTATAGCTACTTAATGTTCTTTGTTTCTTGATGTTTGTCGAGGGCATTGTATCACAAAGTATTCGAACTATATACCTTTGGTGGGAGAAGCCTAATTATAGATTCTTGGAGTACAATAAATTCTCTCTCGTGTACCATATATTTCTTATAATATGGTAAGCATGGCAAAGCATTTGCACCATGATTCTTGGGATGCATAATGGTGTTTCTGAGACTGGAGATGATAAAATTAGCTAGTTGCCCGATAACAACAGTGAGTGAATCAAATTGCTTAAACTGAAGTTAGAAACACCCTCAATGTTTATATCGCGGCGATGGATGTCAACAGGTAGAAATTTTTGAATGGAGCCATTGCAAAGCATTATGGAACGGGTACCATTCCAATAGCAAGAAAGACTTTTGCTCTAAGAAAACATAGCTGCTCGATGTATTGTTTCAAAATCAAATTATTTCACAATACTGCTTCCAGTCGTACCGCAGATCTGCTGATGCAGGAATCGGGCTGTCGGCTAGATCATCCAGCCGCTGCTAAATTTAGGCAGCATGTTATGGATGGGGATTGGAACAAAGCTGACCATGATTTGAATGAACTCAAATCGTTTTTAAATGGTGCTAGCCAGAGTCTGGTGGTAAGAATTGCAACCCATTACTTGTGATAACTTAAACTTGAATGGCTTTGGAACCATAATGTCCCATCTTTTAGGAGATGAAATTTTTATTATTGGAACAAAAATATTTGGAGTATCTGGAAGAAGGTTTAGTACTGGATGCACTACAGGTTCTGCGCAATGAACTGACACCATTAGGGCACAACACAGGTCGCGTTCATCAATTGTCAGCATTTATGATGTGCAGTGGACGCGACGAACTACAGGTATTACTATGCCTGAAATATAACTTAATATGATAATAACGAAGATGCTGACTCTAAACAGTTTTGCCAAAAGCGTTAAATCTTAGCTTTCTTTGTGTAAACTCATACGGAGGTGTGTGCATCGAAAATTGGACCACTAGCAAGTAGATGTTTATTGACAGACTCGCGCGGGTTGGGATGGAAAAGGATCAGCTTCGAGAGCTGCTCTGATGGACAGATTACAAAGGTATCTGCCACCTTCCATCATGTTGCCTCCGCGCCGTCTTCATTCTCTCCTTTGCCAAGCAGTCGAAATGCAAAATCAGCAATGTACATACCACATTACTCCCACTCAGGTATTAACTGCATGCGGCATTATTACCTGATCGCGATCCACGTGAAATAAATGTATTTAATATTTTTGAAAACTCTGTTGTCAGACAAGTTTAGAAAATGTCTCATTGCTGGTCGATCATAGCTGTAGTAAGGAGCAATTCCCATGCCATACCACCCAGGTGCTGAATGATCATTACGATGAAGTTTGGTACTGCAAGTTTTCTCCCGATGGGCTTAAGCTGGCCACAGGATCTAAGGATATGACGGTCATGCTTTGGGATGTTGACCCTGTAAGAGAATAAAATCTACATTATGCAGTCACAATTTTTCCAAGTTTCCAAAACTTTCTTTAACTTTACAAGTCGACTGAATATTCAAACCACATTTTGCACCAAATATGTCACTTGGTCTGGTAACTGTTGGATTTATTCTCTGCTCGACTACCTTCGTTCTTAACACTTATACCGTTACTGTTGTTCAGGAAACATTACGGGTAACGCACAGAAAGACGCTGGAAGGGCATAACTATGGAGTGGCATTAATTGCATGGAGCCCCGATAGCAGCTACTTAATAGCCTGTGGTCCAGAAGATTGTCCGGAGTTATGGCTTTGGAGCGTTGATACTCCCGAATGCGATTTGCGGGTCAAACTGACGCAAAGCACGGACGACTCGCTGACAGCGTGTGCTTGGCATCGAGATGCCAATAAATTCGTGACGGGTGGCTTACGAGGGCAATTCTATCAATGCGTACGTTTCCACGCTCAACATTAAAGGATTCCACCCTTTAGTTATCTCGATATTCTTTTCCAGGATCTGGATGGAAATGTATTGGATTCGTGGGAGGGAGTACGAGTCAAATGCCTTTGGTGCAGAAGTGACGGAAAAACGGTACTAGCTGCAGACTCTCACAACCGCATTCGTGGTTATAACTTCGACGAGTTGTGTGATTTTACAATGTCTGTACATATATCATCGCCCTAGACGATTTTCCACGATTTGAGTCAAAAGGTCACCCTGTCATTCTCCTTACAGACTTCAGGAAGATCATCCGGTCATATCATTTAGCGTGAACAAAGCGGACAGATTGGCTTTACTAAATGTCGCCAATCAGGGCGTTCACCTTTGGGACCTACAAGACAGATGTCTTGTTAGGCGTTTTCAAGGTGTCACGCAAGGTCACTTCACTATTCACAGCTGCTTTGGTGGCGTTAATCAGGACTTCATTGCATCTGGCAGTGAAGGTTTGCCACAACACTACAGAAAACCATCCAACCTCCTGACAGTTTCTGAACTCGTAATTAATATAAATGATTGTTGATACTTTACAGATAACAAGGTGTACGTTTGGCACATTAAGAGGGAACTTCCGATAGCTACCCTGACAGGACACAGCAGAACGGTTAACTGCGTGTCCTGGAATCCCGTGTACCATCAAATGATGGCTTCGGTCTCGGATGACTGGACGGTACGGATATGGGGTCCAAGGTCTTCGTCTCCGGAGAGATCGGATAATGCTAAGACTGGTTAGTGTGCAAATTAGGTTGGAGAGCTTGCATAGAATTCATTCGGAGTTATTGGCACAAAAGTGCATCCATAATACCTTTAGACCGTACCATAAAAATATACGTCTATTGCAACCTTCTTCTATTGTTTAATTCTTTTAGAAACGTAAAAACCAAAATCGTGATGATTTAATACCCTGGAAATTAGTGTTCCACACGGATTTATAAAATATCTTCGTTTATATGAAATCAACTGAAAAAAAAAAGAACCTTATTTCGTCGTGAATTCTAAAAATTCAGGAGATAAAACGCCAGAACCACACATTTCAAGTCAGCTGAGATTTTACATCTTTTCCATGATAAAGAATGAACTCATGAATATAATCGATTGAGGTACACATTCACGTTTGTCATCAAAGTGTGGAAAAGAAAAGCCAGGCGCACTCTTTTCCCTTTTGATGTTTAAATGGAGTCTTTGTATTTCAGCTTCACCGGAGAGTAACTCGTCAAAGAGTAGCGGCTGGCACGAAATGGTGTCGTAGCGGACTGCAAAGCATCGACACTCCCATGACCCCATGGTGTTCAAAAGACTGTCCCGTTGGCTATCGTGTTGACTCCTCTACCCTTTTTAACGATTCCCCACTGCACTGCTACCCGTGGTCGATGAATTGTCAACTGTCTCGCCGGGGTGGACCGGGGGATGACAGGAGTTGGCATCCACGTGCCAACCGGTACAGATAATTTAATAACCACGTCTATCCGGGGAGTCTGTGTATACGTTTCCGCGAATAATTTGCGGGTTTGCTGGGAAATTATAAAAATCCGTTCCATGATGTCACGACTCGATGGCGAGCCGCACATGTACGATTGAATAACTGAAGGTAGAACAGAGCATAATACGATTACTGAAGTAGCGTAAGTCAGGCGTTGAGTTTAAGAGGACTCTTCGTTTTTAGGATCAGTGTAAGTTAAGGGTAAGGAGTTTACGTGCATGGTCAAGAATAGAGCTGTCAAGCTGATACACGTCTTTTGAGCTTGTTCGAAATCTGCGAGAAAGAGTCGTCACGCCTCCGTTGCGTGTTCTGCGGAAATTTATTTATCGTGCCAATAAAATATTTTCAATAAAACAGGAAAAAAAAGCTGAGTAATGCTGCAACTTGATCTTCGAAGGACGGTTATCGAATATCGGCCCAGCAGAATCGTCATATAACAGGCACTGCTTCTTGTTTCCTTGATCGAGCCTCTTGGTAAAATTGTTTCCGAGCAGTGGCACTAGCAACCTCGAAATTTGTAGGATTTTACAAGAGGGCGACCTTAAATGAAAGAGAAAAACTAAACGATCGACCCAGTATCGCCGCTAAAATCATTGCAATAAGACTCGTTTTTCTCTAGCAACGATTCAAAAATATGAGTCTTGTTGAAAAAGGGATAAAGTAATTTTCGATGTGATCCTTGAACGAGTCGATTCGATGGGAGAAGTCTTTATATGATTCAGTAGATAAAAGAAATCCAAAACAAGTTTTATTTATATTCAGTAGATTGATTTTATATTGTCGAATACATATTTAACGTTGGATAGATTAATAACGTTTCATTTCTACCATTAACTGCCATATTTTTTTAAAGGCTATTACTAATGTAGTACATCCATGCATTATAATTCGATATGCAGCACCACGCCATTATGTAGAAATTTCGCCTCTTTCAATTGACTGGCCTCGCAAGGCGAATCAGACCGTACGTGTAAGTTCAATATAATTATACTATTGCCTACGAATACGATTCATACAACTGATTTAAATAAGAACAAAATTACTGTGATTTTCTAGATATTTTAAACTACGTTCGAAACGTCTTCGTATAACTCGTTCTGCCACTATTGCTACTGTTATGAAAAAATTGAATACTTCAGTAAACGCTGTTCCGATCTAGAAATAAATTTTAAGGTAATAGGATCAGATGTTAGCTCCATTCCTTGATCGGTAAATGTCTAACGTTTTACGCGATTTTCACGATAATCGAACTATGCATTGGCAGTTAATGGAACTGAAATATCAGAACGTCTCGAACGTGTTTTCTCATCTGAAAAGGTAAGAGCAACCGAAGGTTTCACTATATCGAGAGCAATGAGATATATATGTACAGATATGCCTTTTTCAATAAATAACGTTATGAAGCACAATTGCGCGTAAAAAAGTGTAAGTGTTATGTCGGATACGCGAGAACTCTCGAGTTCAACTATAAAACGTAACGGGAATAACTGTATCACCATTTGCGATTGCCCTCGGTGCCTTAGCACTCGTATGATCTCAATAAGGAACTTGTGCAATTCAGTTTATTTAGCGAACTATACTTACAAACCTTAGAAATAATGAATGACCACGTTTAAGTGTACAAACGGCAGGGCAGATTACTTGTATTCGGTTGCCCGTCGAGTTAGAGCCCTTACACCAAGATGAGACCCATTCGGTGAGGATAGGCAATAACGATATACAATGGCTAATTTAATAGTTCAGAGGTTTGTCGCGAATAAGAGCGGAAATTCGATGGAAACTCTTTATCACGAGTATTTGCAATTAAACCAATGGGTGTAATCTCGTAATTGCTGGGGAAATACTATTTTAAACACGAGACACCAACTGTTTAGCCTCGGCTGAATTTTGTTTGCATTTGCCTCCGTAACAGCCCTACGGGCGTAGTCCTTACGTTCAAATTGAGCCGTTGCTGCGATTTTTTCAAGGGAAATACAGAGATTTGAAGCGATTTTCGAGGAGGTTCATGGTACTTTCAGTCCGTTTTCGGACTGCCCTGTCCCCAATGAATTTTCCTCGCACCTACCACTAGATTCCGACGCCCGGGGAGGTCGGGGGTCTGATTCGGGGCAGCTCGGCGGGCGACCGCCAGAGGGCGCGCGCCGGCCGAGCGAGGACGAGTCCAGACGAGTCGGACTCGTTCGGACGAGTTGTCGCTCGTCGGCCGTGCTCGCGCGAACAACGACCGCGAACCGGGAGTAACGAGTGGGCGTCGATGCCGATGTAAGCGGCGCCTCTCTCTTCGTTCCGGATCGTGCGATTCAGGTCGATCCTCGACCGAGAGCTTCGGAGCGGTTACGATTTTTGTGCGCGGACGATGGCTCGTAATCGAAGACCGCGGGTGTCGAGGTCGCACGGATGGCGCAACTCGGAATTGAATTTTTTCAATCCCGAGAATTCCAACGCGCTCGACACGCAAGATCGGTCAAGCGTGCAGCGCTCGCCGCCCTCCTCGAGTCGAGAGGATGCACAGAAGCGAGAATCGAGGGACAACCGGGCGGTCCTCGCCCCGTAGAGACGGGACGCACCCTGGAACGGGCACTCGCGACGGCCGGTTGGGGTGGATCGGCTCGGAGAAGACTCGTGGGCCGCAGAGCACGCTCGCTCGGTCTAGCCCGACCGGTCTCTTACGTGAAAGTAAGTCGCTGAGTTGGGCCGAGCACGCGTGCCCGCGGTTCCCGGGTGGCGAGTGGCGGCGAGTGGTGGCGAATTGTGGTGAGTGGTGGCGAATTGTGGCGAGCGGTGGCGAGCGGTGGCGAGCGGTGGCGAGCGGTGGCGAGCGGTGGCGAGCTGGTGGCGAGCGGTCCTCGCGCCTCCCCCACCCCCGGGGCCCGCTCGGGATCGCCGCTTCGGCCCCGGTCGAAGGAGGGACGAACGAACACTCGGGCCGACAGCGGCTGAGAAAACGGACGGCTTCCGCGCGACCGATCCGGTCGAGTTCTTTCCGAGCCGGCAACTCGTCGACGCGCCGACCGGCACCCCCACTCGTCCGCTCCCCCGGGTTCGCCCGACATGAGGGGACGAGTCCTCGCGGCCTGCCTCCTGGGGCTCGCCCTGGCCCGGGCGGGAAGTCCCCGGCTGCCCAGGACATCGGCCGATCAACGCGGCGTGCGCAACGCCAACCTGGCCGGCGGCAACCTCACCGTCTCCAGCTCCGGCCCGGCCCCGGGCTCCACCTCGGCGGGCGCTCCGAGCGGCCTGCTCGCCCTGGCACCGCCGCCCTCTCCGTCGAGGGGCTCCCAGAGGAACAGGTCAGTGATCGACGACTCGGGCGAGGCGCTCCGGTCGAACCCGGCAGCTGGACGCGGGTTGCAGGGGCGTTGCGTAAATCGCGGCCGATCGGCGCCAATTAGAAGGGAATTCCGTCAACGGGCTCTTTCCCCTTTCCCCTTTCCCCTTTCCCCGTTTCCTCTTTTCCCAGCGGCCCGCCGGATGACGTTCGCTCGGAGCGTCGAGTTCGACCACGGCGACTCTTGCGTAATCGGACCCGCCTGTCCTCTCGCGTCGGATTCGGCCACCTCTCGAAAGGGGCCCTCTCCGCCCTTTCTCTTTTCACTGCTTTTCCCTCTGTTTCCAATCGCGCGCCTTGCCGCCCCCGGAGGCGGTGGCAGATCCGACGAGGAAAGGCCGAGACGGGAGAGCTCCGGGTCGCGTTCGGCTACGCGTCGGCGAGGCGCGAGGAATCGGACCTATTTGCGGGAAGCGACGTTACCCATCGTTGTCCACAGCCCAGGGCGGGATCGGAACGGCATCGCTTGACCGCGAAACGAGTTTCTTTCCCGGCCGAGTTTTCGGATTCTTCGCTCCCGTTCTCTCGCGACTGCGGGTCTCCGCGGAAGTCTCGAGACGCCGGCGAACGACTAAGACCGCACCGTCGAGCGGGGAAAGTATTTTCTAATATTTTCACTTCGTAATGGTTTTCTTCCTGCTTCGACTCGACTCGACTCGACTCGACTCGACTCGGCTCGGCGCTGGACGCGGGTCCCGGACCGATCGAGATCCCGATTAGGTGACCATCGTCACGCGAGTCGACGGTGTCGATTCGGAGGGGTCTCGAGAATTTGATTTACAAGCGCGGTACAAACCCTGGAAGCCCGAAAGGGTTTCTTTGCAGTGGACTCGATCTCTCGTTCGCTCGGAGAACCTCGCTCCGTCGAGTCGATTCGCGCGGTTGCGAAAGCCGTCCTGAAATCTCCGGCTTCGCGCCAGTCACGAAGTCGTTTGATCTCGTTGCATGCCAAACGAATTACCGGTCTCGGCTGTTCTCTTTATTAAAATTGCCGGTAACCATTCAACGTTAGCGGGATCGAGTAATTATTAAGGGGATCGTAAATCGCCCCGTGCCGCGTTCTCCGTATTTCGAGAAAATACCAACGATGCCAGGTTTTATTCTTTTTTCTTGACATCGGAGAGAGGCACGGGCCCGGCATTCGACCGTTGGACGGCAAGTCGCGTACTTCGGATCGGTCCTCTGTCCACGATCGGCAGCGCGACTGAGCGTTGTCAAGTGCTGGGGCAAAAAGGTTGCGATTACGACGTAAGGTTTTCACGAGATACCGCAAGAGACAAGTATCGCAGGAATCGGGTGCCGCTGCCTCGTGGCGGAGAAAGCGACGGAATCGCTTCGTCCGGAAGGACGGAAGGAAGGACGGAAGGAAAGAGGGCAGGAGAATGGGAGAGGGAGGAACGCAAGAGAAACGCCCGGCCGTCGGCGCCAGGGGAAGGGGGATAGCCGTAGGAAGGTCTCGTCTCGTCTCGTCTCGTCCTCGGTCCGGAACCGGTTCCCATTGACCGGTGACCGGTCCACCGGGCGCTCGTTGACCCGAGTCGATTCACTCCGGTCGGCTTTCGGACACCTGTCGCCGAGAACCGGTGGGTGGCTCGTAGACGGTGTCACGTAACCGACTCGAACTCGCGAGCGTTGCGCCACGGCGCGACGTCCCGAGTTGCGACACGCGCCTCTCGAGTCCTCTTCTCGACTCTCTCCCCGTCTCCTCCGAGTTCGCGGACGCGGATTCGGTGGAAGGGTCGCGCGTTAGGGAGAAAGAAATAGGAAAGGAATTCGATTCGCCGCCGGCCGACTCACGCGGGCGACCACGCGGGCGACCACGCGAAACGAGAAAGGGATACGCTCTCCCGCGTTCGCTTTGCCGCGACTTCGGCCTCGTGCCGGGCGTTTCCGACTTCCGCTGCCGCCGAAGCTGTTTCGGTTTCTGGGATCGGAGAGACGATCGGATTGGCTCCGCGATTCGGTCGGCTCGCCGCTTTTCCTCGGGTGCCGACGTCACGGACGGAAGACGCGTGGATTCCACCCGCTGCTCCTACGAGGACGGCAGCCGAGGGACCGCGTTCTCGCCCCGTTCGTCCTTACGGAAAACGATTGAGCGAGGGGGCAGGGGGTCGTCCAAGGAACGAGTCCCGGCCGTTTAGAGGTCGAGAGGGCATCGCGCGGTCAATGTCGAGGATGTGGTCGCGTAACACGGAAAAGCGGAACGGCGGGGACTCCTTCCCTCGGTGGCGGAGCGGTTACCGGAGAAACTGGTCCATTGGGTCGTTAGGTAATCTGCAAATTTCACTCGGAATCGATCGGACGCGCGCCGACCGTCCCGAAGAAACGCGCGAGTCGGGAGGCCCTGGGGGTCGACGAGATTACTCGCCGTCAACGGCACGATTAGAACGTACGCGGGACTTTCGTTTCCCGGCTGCGAGGAGGGGAGCGACGACCGAGAGCAGGGCCGGCGGCGAAAGAAACGCGGCTCGGTCGAATTTAGGGGCGCGGTCCAGTTTTCCCTGGGCCGGGTCCGACCCGTACGTTTCTCCGTCCGGTTCTTTGCCGCTTTACGCAACGGCCGAGAACCGGGTCCGGTCGACGGTCGACCGCGTCGCTGGAACGTCATACCGGAATCGACGCGATCGGTCCGGCTAGCCGGATCGCACCTGTTCGCCGCGAGTCGACCGGGCGCCTCCTCTTTTTCTCTCTGTCTTTACCCCCCGCTCTCGGTTGTCGATGTCTTGCGAAAGGTTCGAGATCTTTCGCCCGGCTCGCCGTGGGACAAGACTCGAGAACTCGAAACGCTCGAAACTTGGTTTACACTCGCGCCAGACGAACCCCAAATCTCGAGTGCCGACCGACGGCCGATGCGGACGATGAGAGCTACGGTTTTGCTTCGACAGGGAGCAGTACCTCTTTAACGTCTTCGAAGTGATCGTCTCGACTCTGGAATCGAAACTTCAGCGAATCGAGAACTTGGACAAGGCCGTGGAGCATCTGATGAGGCGAGTCGAGGCTCTCGACTCCAGGGTGAACGACAACATCGAAAAGACGGATGCCGTGATCGCCAAGCTGAAGAGTCTGGACCTGAAGCTCTTCCACGGGCCCAGGGCGGCGGTAGAGTCCGGCGAGACATCGGCGGAAGCGGCCGGGAGGATCCGGGCCCAGGTCGCGGCTCCGGGTCTCCCCGATCGACAACCCGGTAAGTTCCCTCTTCGTTCCGAGTCGTGGCCGAAAGGTCTTTTCGCGGCGTGACGAAATCGCCCTGACCGAAACGGTTTTCCGACGTTGCAGGCCTTTCGCTCCGGTCGACACCCGGCGTCGACGAGCCGTCCGCCGAGTCGCTGGGCGAGAAGCTACACTCTCTGGATCGGAAGGTTTCCGACATCGACGACAAGCTCGTCGACTTGAAGAATCAATTGGACAACAATTTTTTGCCGAACGACGACATCAATGCCGAGGCCAGCGAAAAGAGGCCCGTCAGCGCGAGCGCGATAGACGCGGCCAAGACGATCGGGAACGAGGTCATGAACCATGTCAGCATCGAGATCGAGAATCTGCGCCAGGCGACCGGCAACATGGACCGCAAGCTCCAGTTCCACATGAACCTGGTCTCCGAGAACCTCGGGGCGGTTTACGCCATGCTCAGAGACGTGCACAACGCCGTCGTCGACAGAGAGGCGGCGGCCAATTTCAGTACGAGCACTCTCGGCCCTCGTCCCTCGAGAGCCAGCAAGATCGACCGGCTGGCCGAGAGCATGCATCCGATGCTCACCGTTTCGGAGAAAATGGACCAGGTCTGGAACGTCGTGGTAAGTCCACGCGAAAAATGTCTCGTCGTCGTCCGTGAGCTCGGGGCGGCGCCTCCGGGGCCCGTCCACGGGACTCCGCTCCGAGCCGATCTTCTGATTCGGATCGCGCTCTCGCCAGGTCGGGACCAAGAGCTCCGTGGACGACCTGGTGCCCAAGTCCGACGAGCTGCTGACGCAGACCCAGCGCCAGGAGCGAGCGATCAGCGAGATCCACGCCGACCTCCGATCCAAGACCAACAAGATCATCGAGAATCTCGAGGGCGTGGAGAGCAGACTCAGGAAGCAGGACGACGTCGCGATGCTCGCGCAGCGTCCGGTGCCGGCCGAACTGCTCCTCGACCCCACCATCGACAGGCTGGTCGAGTACGACCCGACCAGGTCGGTCCGCCCTTCCCTTCGACTTCTCGATCGGGCCGCGGACGACGCTCATCCGTTCGTTCCTGCGTTCAGGTACGTCGGGTCGTTGGAGGATCTGGCCATGGAGACCGCGCCGCCGACCGGGGTCGGTCCACCGGGAACGTCGACGGTCCCGCCCGGCACGGTGCCGGCGACGCCCTCCGGGGCGGCGACTCCGAGTAACGCCACCCAGACGCCGCCGACCTCGACCCCGACCCCGACCTCGACTCCGTCCCCGACCCCGACCCCGACCTCCACCTCCTCCGGCCAAAGATCGTCCCCGAGAAATCGTGGCGTCATCTTCCCGAGTGTCAAGAACAAGCCGAGTCCCGCCAACTCGACCTTCACCACGGATCTCCTGATCAATTACAAGGACATCAAGGTAACCTTTTGCTCCTTCTTGGAACGATCCTTTACCGCGACGTAAAAGAGTCGAACGCGTCGACAGGAAGCGCCTGGCGTAGAACGAACCCAAGGACTCAAGGAGCACCTTCTTTATCGTCGCGAAATCGGATAGAAAATTCTTGCTCGGTGAAAGCACGTCTTCGCTTAAGAGGTTACGGTTACACCCATCGGGAGAGGAACCGCGTTAGGATCCGTCTTCTCGTGCGCCGAATGTCGCTTCTTTTAACTGGAGTTGGAGGGTCTATCGTTCCATTTTCGGACCATCGAAAAAAGGCAAAAGGCTCGGTTAGCTCGACGGTTTTCTCGACCATTGAATTACTCGGAATAACACCGACAAAAGAAGTATTTATTGCCGCGTACCGCAACACCGCGACGCGCCTCGTCGGGCCGATCGAATTAATAGAGCGAATTTAACGAATTGCCAATGCCGGAGATAATATTTCTCGCGTTGCCGGCGACCCCACGAAACTTGATCGTGAAAAAGAGGATCCGTTCCTTACCGCCGCCCCGAGAAAGTTTCTCGACTGGCGGCACCTTCGACCAGTCGAAAACGATTTTCCTCCGCCGAGGAGGCGGACGGCCAGTTCTCGCCCGGGCACGGATCGTGCCTAGCTACGAACCGCTCCGGGAGAAGCCGACGTCGTCCTTGTCTCTGGATGTACAAGGAGAGTAATCGCTCGTAGCGACATGGTCAATTTCCAATAATAACGATCCGACACGGCTCGGTCCCGAGAAGCCGAGTGCCGAGCTCGCAGCGATTATCGGTTACGACACTTGGAAGGCGGTCGCGGAACGAGAACGCGCCGAGTCACGGCGCGTTCTCGTTCCTGGCGATCTGGTGGCGCGACCGGTGCGACCGGAAGCCCGGTTTTGTGCGCATTTGTGCCAGTTGGTTCTTGCTATCGGAAGTACGGCCGTTCTTAGTTGCTGAAAGCCAGCGGGTGTAAAACCGATCGGTTCTTTGGCCCTGTAAGCACCGCCGTGCTTCGTTAGCGGCGTGCCGATAATCCGTTCGAATTCCTTGCTTCGGCGCAATCGAGGAGCAAAGGGGGAAACGGAACCATTGGGTCTTCCCCCTCTATATCGTCGGGGCGGGTGTCGGTTTCCTCGCGTTCCGTTCTTTCGCAGTGGATTCCGAACCGGGTGAAAGTCGTTACGTGCTGCGCGAGGTGCGCGGTTGCTGGCTCGATCGTTTCAATTATTACGGGTAACGTTATTTTCTCGTAGCTCCCGGAGAAATTTCTTCTCCGTCCGTCCCCTTTAGAGGGTGGCGTTCCGTCCGAGATAAGTGACGGTTAGCGAGGTTAGACGGGGGCCATGGAACGGTTAACTAGCTGGAGTAAGCGGTGGATTCCCAGACCGTCACGCTCCGATCGACAGTAAATCGTGTCGATGGTTTCGTTTCCAGGGCTATTCCTGCGTGGATCTGCTCAATGCTGGCATGAGAGAGAGCGGCGTTTACTACCTTCAAATACGAGGAACCACCTATTGGTTCCTCAAGGTCTACTGCGAACAGGATATTGCCGAAGGAGGTTGGACGGTGAGTTCCCGTACCTCGCGCCGATTTTCCCGACCATTGCCGGTTCGGGGGCCGGAGCGTTCCATTTGCCGGGAACTCGGGGGAGTCCGTCAGGGCATTATTTCCGGTGTTTTCGAATCGAGGTCATTCCTTGTTGATACTTTGGCCCGTGCGGTTCATTTGTCCGTCTCGCGCCGGTTCCTGCGTTCCGCGACTTTTACGTTTCGAGAGAGGGCAGGAAAGTGTACGAAAGTACCCAGGAGGTAATTACGGCAGACGGCAGTGCCCGCGGCCGTTTCAAGAGCGCCGACGACGGTTCTCCTTTCACGACGCGACCCGCGCACGGATAGATGTGTCCGCATCGATGCTTCTCGACCATTTTTATACGCGTAACGATTATACCTGAGCTTTTCGTTTTCGACACCGAATCGCTGCTGCGCGTTCCCGATTTATGGGACGTTTCTATCTATTTCGATGAAACGCTCCTAACCTTTCATCGAAACGGAGTTTTCCTTCACTTTTGTAAGATCGTATACTGGTTATGATTCGAGTCGGTAAATCTTAGCACGGAGAACCGCACTTACGCAACGTTATTTCCTAACCGAAATCCTAGACTGTGTCTCCGATCGAAACACACAACGGACCCTTAACGCCAGTTCGCGTCTCCGTCCTTGTGTTCCAGTCCAGGCCAGATTGGGTTACATCTCTGTTGGAATAAGATCGAGATAAGATGCCAATGATTCTTTTCGTTCTCCGAATAGGTCATTCAACGGAGGGACGACTTCGGAGAGCCGAGAGAGAATTTTAATAGAGATTGGGCCGATTACAAGAACGGTTTCGGAGACCCCGCTAGGGAATTCTGGCTTGGAAATGAAAATATCTACATGCTGACAAACAACGAAGACTACGTGCTCAGAGTCGAGCTCGAGGATTTTGAGGGGAACAAACGGTGAGATACAACGTAGGACGAGAACCGATCTATGCAAAGGCATCGGTTTTATTACTCTTAAGTGCGAGAACGTAGGATGGGACGAAGGTAGGGTCAAAGGCTAAAAACGCTTCTCTAGAGCCACTCGCAATGGAACCATGTCAAAAACAGATTCTATCGGAAAGGGGGAACGAATAACCTCGGTTTCGCACGGCTGCTTCGCGCTCGCACTCGTGTTTCGAAAGGGAATCGCGTAGGAAGGCAGTTGGGTGCAATTCGATCAAGGATTCCGGTTAAGAGGTCGTTAGAAAGGACGTTATCGATTCGGTGCGGCGCAACGCGAGAATATCGCGCTCGACCCTTTGGCTAAAGCCCGAGTCTGACCACGGATTAGTTCCGGGAGAGGGCACGAGGCGCGAGTATCGAGGGCGTGCGCACCTCCTCCGGACTCGGAGTCGTCCTCCCCCGGAAGAGGGGCCGTACGTTCCCTGTGCCGAACCAAGCGAACCAAGGCCTCGGGACCTCGTGAAAGGCAAATTCGGATTCTCCGCCCTTCGACGTTCATCGAGGTTCTTTGAGTCGCTTTGCGCTACTTTCGCATTGCCCGAGTGGTCCGATCGACGGAAGAAAGCACTCCTTTCCATAGGCTCGCTATTGGTTTTTGTCGCCAAGTGACCAAGGGCGTCCCTCTGATTCGACTCCGCCATTCACGGTAACAAAACCCGGGTTCGGGCGAGAAAAGTCACCGCCTTCTTGTTTCAGATTCGCCCAATATTCCCACTTTAAGATCTACTCCGAGGGGGAGTATTACAAGCTGGAGATCGATGGCTATGAGGGAAACGCTGGAGACTCCTTGAACGACCCGTGGTACGGTTCCAACAACAGTCCATTCTCGACCTATAACCGGTGCGTACGCGTTCAAGATTCTAGTTTTACGGGTTTATTCCGATGCGTAACGGAACTTGGGTTCTCGTGTTCGCACGTTAAGTGTTCCGTCGACGGGAGAAGTTCTAACCTTGTATTCTTACCATTGTACTTGGATGTTCAGAGATAACGATAGGTCGTCATTGAATTGCGCTTCGATGCTGAAGGGCGGATGGTGGTGGAAGTCCTGCGGGCGTGGATTAAACGGACTTTATCTGAACGACCCTCAAGATCTTACGGCTCGACAAGGTTCGTTCTCCTTGACAAGTCCATTGTTTGGGCATGGTATATTCGTCGGCATTTTAACGATAAGACGATTGAATCGATTTCAGGGATCGTTTGGTTCCGGTGGAGGGGATGGGACTACACGTTGAAGAAGGCCACCATGATGATCAAGCCAAAGGGCCCAACTCCGACCGTGTAGCAGCGGCTCGTCGCAGAGTGGGAGTCTTGAATTCATCGTGCCTGCAATCGATTAAACCTTGGCGCAACTACCTCCGTGCGAGTACCGTCTGCGTTTGCATTTAATTGCCAGGGTAATTTCGATCTTAGGGCTACTTCAGAGGCGATTCCGTGTAACCTCGCCATCTCGTTTCGGATCTTTACGGACTGAAGCGCATTTAAGGGAAGGTTCATAGAAATGATCCAGCACTCATCGAATGGCAAGGCTTGACATTTTCTGTATCGTTTCCCCTTGTAAGGCTCTTTGTTCGATCCATGAATTGAGATCGTTGTGACCTGATTCGCGAAAACGTGCTCGCAAGAATCCATCCTGTTGGCCGGTATTTATAACAAATTCTATGAGTTGCAAATTCGACTGGATCGGACGGCTCGTTTGCATGAAAAATTCACAACGGGGTAAGCGCAGTAGGTTAATCGTTAATTATAGTACTCAGCGAATCGAGGCTAAAGGGATAATGCTGCAACGTCCGGATAACTCAAAAACTCATTTCGAGGATTGCTCGAATATCCAGTAGAGTTGTTCGCTAAGTTTCAGCATCCCGTCGACACTGGCATATACTTATACCATTTGTATTAATTTAAAGGCATAATCAGCAGCTATGCGGTTTAACGTTGAAATATGTAACTACCGAGCATTCATGACATATTCCTTTCTTTTGCAGTTAGTGTTTCGATGAAAAGTTTTCATTGCATAGTGTGCTCGACGTATACAGAAAGCGACGCAGCATTTGATAACAAAGGAGGAAATTGACTTCATTCGATGTATCCGTCTAGAAATTAGTGCTACAATGGATCATAGATTTAATTAAATTTCACCAGAACAAATCACACCAACAGGGGCTATGATTTAGCGTATTTCAGGAAACGAAATTTTCTTAAGAAATCAAGTACAATACAGATTCTCTACAATGTTTTGGCTATTCGATTACAGAATCTGTTACACATGGCACCGCTATCGGTTACCCATGAAAAAAAAAAACAATTGTAAATAAGAATATCTTGTAACGAGTATTGTAATAAGTTGTAAAAAGTCCCTTAAGAAAGGTATGTTTTGTAAAGTAGATCGTAATTATAAAGAAACCTTGTTGTCCCTATACCCCATTGCGATTAGCAGTTGCTTAATCAGTGATTTATGGATGATTTCTACTAAAACATTATCTTTACAAACATTTATTAATCAAACCTAATTTTACTGGAACTTGCAGTTGCTCCGTAACTTATGTCCATTACAGAGATAAGTTGGGAGATTGCTCACGGGCAGGATCGTGTGTTCGCGTCCTGTGCTGCCCTCTGGTTTCGTACGTTAGCTTTCACCGTTTTTTGCCCCCAAGGGCGGCGCAACGAATTTCTGGTAGAAACTCGCGCACTCGCGATGGCGGTACCATCTACCAGTCGCCGTTGGTGGCTCACGTACTCGTGATGGTAATACCATGCGGCAGTTGACGGTGGTGGCTTACCTACACTTACCGACACTGCTCGCTTTTGATGGTAAGGGAAGAACACTCGTGACGCTCCATTTGACTTTATCTACTTATCTACTACCAGAGATGAATTGGGAGATTGCTCACGGGCAGGATCGTGCGATTGCATCCTGTGCTGCCCTCTGGTTTCGTACGTTAGCTTTCACCGTTTTTTGCCCCCAAGGGCGGCGCAACGAATTTCTGGTAGAGACTCGCGTACTGGCGATGGCGGTACCATCTACCGCGAAGTATCTCATATTTTTACTATAGTGAAGTTACGGAATCGCGGAGGATGTTCACTTTTACAATTTTCACTAGTATCCACCCCCTGAATTTCGAACTTTTCTGCCACATCGCGTGTCCTAACTGCGACAGAGTGCTGCTCGGTGTAGGTGTATTTCATACAAACGACAAAAATTCTGCTGCAGGCACATTTGTCGGTCGTCGACTGCCGTTGTGTGCTAATGAAATATCGGCCTTAACATTTTCAGTAGATTCGAGTTACAGAATCGACCTTCGAGTTCCGCCATGTTGGAAGTTCCGTCTTGCTCTGGCTTCAGTGCATCAACTAAGAACATTCAGTCGAGTCAGTTCTTTCCCAGGTCGGCATAAGTTGGTGAGTTTATCTGTTTTGTCGAGTTTCGACGTTCGAGGCTTACCGTGACGAAAATGGCATACCGTGGGGTAAAGGGTTCCGACCCATTCGTGTCGAAAACCTCGCGTAACGAACGGTTCGCTCAGATGTCGAAACAAGAGCAGATTATCCAACGGAAGAAACTTGAAATTCAGGCGAAGCAGCAGGAACAGAAGGCTAAACAAACCGTGGAGGGCGCGAAAAAACCCCTGCCCGCACAAGCGATCCCGTGTGCGGCCCCACCGACCAAAGTCAGCTCCTCACTCGAGTAAGTCTATTGACGTTGGTTTTCACTTATTGTTACGTTTAGAAATTTGTATCGATGAGAGAGCTATTGCACCAGTCGTTCTCGAAGGCTGTATGAGTGACCGTCATGAGCTAACCATTGAAACATCTGCATAAGTCATGCGACATCTCATGGTCTTGTAATCTCATGGTTGTAGTAATTTGTACGATCGGAAGGAGAACAACAACTACGACAAGTCGATTTGTTTCTTTTTTATTCAATTGTCCAATATAGGTTATGTTAGATATTGTTTAATTTACAGAAAGGAGGAGGAGAGACAGGCTATGTCGTCGACGGTCAATTTGTTTGCCAACGATGGTAGTTTTCTAGATCGGTTTAAGAAAATTGCAAACAACAAAGTATCCACGAAGCACAATCTAATGCAAGAAACCAGACGCAAACTGGAGGAAAGGAAGGATGAGATGAAAGAGGAAAGGAACCACGAAGGAACACGAGACCGAGATTACAGATGGAGTACGGAGAAGAGCAGAGATCGTGAGAACCGAAAAGACAGGCGAAGGGGAGACTCACGCCGTGGAAGAGCTTCCGGAGATAGAAGGCGAGGTTCCTCGTCGAGTCCGTCCCCCACTGGACGCGAGTCCTCCCCCGTTGCAGATTCAAGGCATAACTTCCGTCGGCCAGCTGTCAGCGGAGGTCGTTCGACGTTTGCCCAAAGACAGTTTCAGTCTCAAAACCTCCAATCTCCGAATCGAGTTGCGTCGATTCCTCCTCTGATGTCCCAAGCCCTGCTTCGGTCGACGAGTGTGTCTCCGTCTGACACGCGATTTGCGGCTCCACAATGCGGAATGCAGCCCCTCACCGAGGATTACAGCTGCCCAGATCCCAGGATGCGTATTCCACCACCTCGCTTGATTGGACCTCCACCGATAACGTCCGGAGCTCGTCGATGTGGGGTCCCCTTAACCGGTCCGCCTCCGTCTTCAATGTCCATACCCCATCTAATGCCGAGGCTCGTTGTCTCCGGGCCACCTCCGCCGCCGCCGCCGCCGCCTCCGCCCCCGCCACCGCCTCCGCCACCGCCACAATCATCGACTCGGCAGCAGCAGCAACAACAGCAACAGCAACAGCAACAACAGTCGACTTCTACCATGGTCGTCTCCTCGAGCATAAATTCAGTGCCACCGCCGAATCTAACCATTCCACCCCCCAACGTGCCGCCTCCTTCTGTTATTCGGAATGCACCCCCGCCACCGCTGATGGCGGCCAATCTGGGCTACCCGATTCCTGGTCGTCTGTCTATGACAATGGGGCCTCCCGATCTGCGAGTTCCGCCCCCAGTTGGGCCACCACTCGGACCGTCGCTCGGACCGTCGCTCGGACCGTCGCTCGGACCACCACTGGGACCACCACTGGGACAACCACTGGGACAACCACTGGGACCACCACTGGGACCACCACTGGGACCACCACTCGGACCACCACTGGGACCACCACTGGGACCACCACTGGGGCCACCACTGGGGGACCACCACTGGGACCACCACTGGGACCACCTCCCAACTTACGCACCTCGGACCGCCTAGGTATTGTATTGTACTTGGCGCCACGTCCATACAAAGATTGGAGGATGCTTTTAGCATTACCCTTGAGACAATTCTCGATCATGATCATTTTTCGATTGGTTTTTCCCTTTCTATGGTATTTGAACAACATTTTCTAACAAGTGGCAAAAGGAAATTGGGGTCTCTGGAAAAGCTAGAAAACTAGTAGGCACTGTTTTCGCATTAATCCTTGAAAAGAAATCTGAACCAGCTGTAGGAGGGTATACGCGTTGACTATCTTATCTGACAAAGGATTCTAAGTGTGTCCCGTAGAAGCGGAGCAGCTGGCCCGGATCGTGGCTGATTGCGGAGACGAGATCGAACAGGAAGCGCGAGAGAAGAACGCTGAAGATCCCAAGCTATGGTAATTACCAACCAAAGCTCTCGGTCTCTCGAATGCACTCTCCTTATAATTATGGAATAGCCAGAGGTTTGTTGACGGGCAACGTACATGGCGCTCCATCCTTACAGTAAGAGAGAGAAAGAGAGAACGAGAGGGGGGGTGAGAGGGTGAGAGGGTGAGAGGGTGAGAGGGTGAGAGGGAGAGAGAGAGAGAGAGGGGGGGGGGGGGTATAGAGGGCCCGGAAGAATTGAAAATCTTTCCTCTTTAGTGAAATATAACCCGCTGCTAGCACTGATCGGCAGGTACGCTGCGATAACTTATCGAAGCTAGCTCGAATGACGGTGAACTGTCGCAAGTCAAGATAGAACAGGGGAAAGTCAGCTGGCATGCGTGATTCCATATTAGTCCCGATATCGTATCTTGCGGTCTTGATTCGATTCCATCTGCCGCCAGTATTCGCGTCTCGTGAATGGAATGGTCTTATATACGTAGGAATACATCTTGTTTGACAGCGTTTTAAGTATTGTTTTAATCAAGGTTTCTGCATCAAAAGCAAAGTGCAGCATATCTGCAGTACAGGGGCTTGGTGGCGAAGTTCCGGACTGAAATGGTCGGCAGCAGAGATTGCGGAAGCTGCCTAGGTGCCGTGTTTGGGGATGGCAAGGTTGGCAGCGGAGCGGAACCGTATTGTCCGGAAGAAGCGTTAAGTGACACCGACGATCTCGAGAGACCACAGAGGCAAACGCCCTCGACCGGTGAGTGATTTCTGTCTTTGAGGTGGCTGTCGAGTATCGTTGTACCGACCACTTCCACTGTGTAGATCGACCGAAAGAGGAGAGCCGAGAGGAGCGGAAACGTCGGAGGCGCAGTCGGTGGGGCGACCCCGAAACAAAGGTACAGGTCACGCCGGTCGCGCCACTCGCGCCACTCGCGCCGGCCGGCTCTCCCGTGTCACAGACGAAGCCTCGTGGCGCCAAAGGGAAGAATCCGATGCTGACCAAGATCTCACGAAACGACCCGGTCTTGATCCAGTACGCGAGGCAAACATTCGGCACGCTGGAGCTCACCGAGGAACAGTGGAAGAAGGCGGAGGATCACTATAAGGTGGTCACTCGTGCCGATCCGACTAATTCTTAGCAATCGGTGCATCCGTTTCGTGAGGTCGGTGCCACTGAATTTAGTCGACTTGAAATTCGTTTCTTTCAGATCAATTTATTGTACCAAAACCTCCTCAAGAAACGCGAGGAAGTGAAGCGTCTGGAGGCCCAGGGAAAGCACAAGTACGAGTACGATAGCGACGAGGAGACCGAAGGCGGCACGTGGGAGCATAAGCTGCGCTCCGCCGAAATGGAGGCCACGCAGATGTGGGCGGAAGAGTTGACTGCTCAGGCCGAGGGTAAACATCACATAGGCGACTTCTTGCCCCCGGACGAATTGAAGAAGTTTATGGAGCAGTACAACGCGATCAAGCAGGGAAAGGAACCAGACCTAAGCGATTACAAGGAGTTTAAATTGAAACAGGATAATATAGGTACGATCAGTCTTTCGGTATTGCATCCTTCGGGCGAAATTGATGGAAACCTAAACTATTGCGTGTCGTATTTTTCAGGCTTTCAAATGTTACAAAAACTCGGCTGGAGCGAAGGCCAAGGCTTAGGAAGCGAAGGAAGTGGCCGAGTGGATCCCGTGAATAAGTACGTATATGTCTTCTTTTGAAGTTTCGAGCGTGCCCGTGTGGAAGAAGTACGATCGTTCCAAACTAATATTTTACCTATACTCGATTGTTGGGTATCTTGGAATGGTTGGGCGCACCGGGTCATGGCATTAATGAGGCCACTTTTTTTTTCCCCCTTGATACGTGACTTCGCATTATCCATCATTTGGATCATTATGCTTCGAGTAGATGCGACAAGTTGTTTATGTTTTCGGGAAAGGGTACAAAAAAATGGTATTCTATCGTTTCCAAGATCGTTGATCCGCGTTGGAATTCATTGTTCAATTTGAAACGACTTAAACACAGTACGCGTTAAGAAACGTTGACTACTCGTAGTAGTAATCGTTTCATATCCTTGACAGAGCCACAAGTAGACTTGATTCCGCTGGTCTTGGCGTCGACAGACCGGACGGTATCTCGAGGGACGATGACGAATTCGACGCGTATCGAAAACGAATGATGCTGGCATATAGATTTAGACCTAATCCACTGGTAAGTTTGACAATGAAAATGTTCGAAAACACTTTGCTTATCGATGAGGTGATCTGATGTTTGCCGTGCGTTTTGTTTATAGAATAATCCTAGGAGACCTTACTACTGATTCATCGTTCTCAGCTGCAAACGTAAGATTGAATCTTTTCATCTCTAGACACTATTAACTTTGTACATTTAAAGGCGCGTTACAGACACATTGCGTCAAAGATCGTTGGCATAAATACGGGAATGTCGTTAAATAAAGTGATACCGTCTTCGCATACAGAATTCTAAGAGAAAATGAATTGCTACAATATTTCTGCATGTGTTATAGCTAGTCGTGGTTCTAGTTTCGAGTTGTGGCTTTTCAAAGCGTCTCTTTAGATTAGCGTAGTATTTGTACAATTGTCCAATTAAAAAATTAAATATTTTGTAACATTGTTATTTAGAACCTGTATGAGCGTTGCGTGCTCAATGCCGTAATTATAAAAATATTTTAATTGTCGAACATCAGATAAATAAGGATTGAAGATAACTCCAGATGGTCAATTTTTGGTTGATCTAGAGATCTTTTACTCGTCGTTAATAAACGTGCGATCGCATTCTGTGCTGCCATCTGGTTTCGTACGTTAGCTTTCACCGTTTTTTGTCCCCAAGAGCGGCGCAACGAATTTCTGGGAGGGACTCGCGTACTGGCGACGGCGGTACCATCTACCAGTCGCCGTTGGTGGCTCACGTACTCGTGATGGTAATACCATGCGTCAGTTGACGGTGGTGGCTTACCTACGCTTACCGACACTGCTCGCTTTTCATGGTAAGGGAAGAACACTCGTGACGCTCCATTTGACTTTATCTAC